ATATATATGTGTGTGTGTGTGTGTGTCCAAACTTTTTAACAATCCAATGGCCGGGCTTAGTTCAAAATGTCATTCTAAAGTTCACACAGGAAAATGACTTCAATGGTGTCCATATAACTTGCAAGAGCGCCAGCTTTGTGCTTCGTGAGACCATTCAGGTCAATAACTTTTGCAATCTCTTGTACTTGTAGAGCACTTTGGATTGTTTGTAGCCCCTGAAGACTGCTTCTGTCGCATCAGCCCGGGCAGACCACCGGGTATCCGATGGGTGTTTTGGGACAAGACATTCAGGATTTTCCCCAAAGTGTTGTAATAAAATATTCAAACGATGTGTTGATGCAACAAAAAATGAATACAAGCGCTGCAGGAATTGAAAGAAAGACACACCTTCCACACAGCAATCTACAGCTGATTAACCAACTAAATTTAGAGAGTAGCCTGCGAACGGAATATGATCCACAAGATTTATTTTTCAAAATTGTCTGCATTCCAGTGTATTTCCCAGACGTGTTACTGGCATTGTCGTGTGTCTGGCCACGACAATTCTCAAAGTCGATGCCTTGCACCCCTAGGCACTGGAGCAACGTATCTGCAAGATTCTGTCATGTGTGGCTGGAGATGTTGATGAATGTCAAAAAGCGCTCCTCGGGCTGGTGATCGACCATATTAACACAGCGTAAAACAACCGTTAACTGATCAGAATGCGTAACATCTGGAGTAGAATCTACGGAGACTGAAAAGTACCTTGCCTTAGAAATTTCATCCTTGATGAGGTCAAGAACATGCTTGTCTAACAAGTAAATCAATTCTTTACAGGTTGTTTTTGATAGGTATGAAGTGTGTCCACGTCCTTGGTTGGCATGAGTTTTAATATGCTGAGATAAAAATGTATCAAACTGCCCAATTAGTTCTAAAATACCCAGGTAGTTCCCATTGTCCTTGGACCCAACGATTTCATTACTGCCTCGAAAAGCCAGCCCTCTCTCAAAAAGGAAAATGATTGTCTTATACAACGTAACAAAATGTTTTTCCAGTATTTTCGTTGTTCCAGTAAGTTTTGGTGTAACCGCTCGTCAACTCGCTCAGCAGCAACACTACCCTGACATAAAGTCAAGACTGAGTTTATATGTTTGGGACTTGTTTCATGTATTTTTAAATAGTTAGTTATTTTCTTCCAATCTGTAAACCCCTGACCAGAAAGATGTACACGGTTTGGCGAAAACAAAAAGCAAGGGAAACAGAAAACACTGGCTTTGCCTGGAGAATAATATTATACGAACCAGTCACGATCAACTACTTCTCCATTTGACAAAACACGTTTGAATGCACAGTTATTTAAACCTCGATTCACGCCAGAAAAGTCTCGTTTTGTTTCTGGATAGTCACTTGCCAAATTCCGAAACTGGTTTGCTCCGCGAGTTATGCACATTTCAAGCACATGGTCCTTTATATCACCTTGAAGCCTTATATCATTTGCCATTGTTCTTGAAGTATTACCAGTTTCGACTGTTTTAGCATCAGGTAGCTCAGCTTCAGCGGTAGGCTCTTCTTGGTAGTTGTCGATTTTAGACGAAGAAGATTAACCATCAGCTACCCCAGCTCCAATAGTACTAGCAGTAGGCTCTTCTTGTTGTCGATTTGAGATGAAGAAGCTTCGCTACTACATGTACTTTTCTCTTTCACATGAAAAGTTGAAGTCAGTTTTGTTAATTTTTTTAGTTCTTCTCCTTCTTTAATTTTCTTCTTCTCCAACTCCTTCGCTTTCCCATCCACTCTTTTGTTTTGACATTTCAAGATACTAATCCTAGCAGACGCTGAGGATAAACATGCTCAAGAAGAGTACATTATGAAGAAACGTGGTAGGGCCTATTTTGTGGTAGTGGTGGTGATGCTGCTGCTGCTGTTATTGTTGTTGTTGTTGTTGTTGTTGTTGTTGTTGTTGTTGTTTATTTGTTGTTGTTTTTGTTTGTTGTTGTTGTTGTTTTTTGCTTCTGCAAAGGTTTGCATTATATTATGTTGATTCTGGTCTCTATAAGCATCCTCAATATTGTATATTATTGTAAAGTACTAGTTTGTACTACTGACAGAGATAAGAATGCGGTCATACTGCATGGCCACTGTCAAAATAAAAGATATCCAGTTGCAGCCAAAGCTGCAGTCTAAAAGACCTTCTCCCACACATACACACGAACTCTTCTCCTGTCTATTTCTCCACCCCCCCTCCCCTGCCCCAAATCCCACCAACTCTCACTTTCCCGTTGTGTTTCTTCGTTTTCCTGTTAGTACGAAGAAACATTTGTTAGCGTAATTTAACACCTAGTTATACCGACATATGAATGGCATTAGTATTGAAAATTACTACTTGGCTCACCATTGCATAGGCTAGCAATATGTAAGTCATAAGTTATAAGTCAAAAGGCATTTATAAAGCGCCCACTCCAGAAGATCTGCTCTGAGGCGCTACAATATGGATCAGTTGAATATTTTCTGGAACAAAATGTCTTGACGTGTCGTTTGAAAGAATCCACAGTCTCAACATTTCTTATTGATGCTGGCAGTGCGTTCCGTAAAGATGGGGCTGAAACACTGAAAGCCCGATTTCCGATTTTTGTTCTGGTACTTCTAGTTGACAATCTTATGTGTTTACTCAGTCTTGTGTTTCTGAAGGATGCTTGCCCATTTATGAGTTCTGTGAGATAGGATGGTACAATTTTGTGTATTGCTTCAAAAGCTAACAGTGGGATCTTTAGGCCAACCTCACAGGCAACTGTTAAGGCCCGAGTTCTGGGGAGGGGGAGTTTGTTTTTTTGTGTTTTTTTTTGGGGGGGGGTCTAGGGTTTAGGCCTAAAACTAATGGAGGGGATACCATTAAAAATTATATAAACACTGCGCTAGTAGACTTAGACTAGATTTATCTAGATCTAGATCTAGGTCTATTCTACGTTTTATATTATTCATTCGGAATCTGGACACTAAGTTTGTAAGGTTTCAATTTGCTTTTAAATAACCTAGGTCTAGCACAAAAAAATAACTTTTTTACATGTATAATGCCGGCATCCCTTCCTGTCACTTCCCTTGCTTAAAATATCTAGATCTAGGCCTAATAATACATGTCTGAATTATTATACAGATAGCCTGCCTTGATTTTTATTTATATTGGGGGTTTTGTAAGCACCTTTCACCCCGTGACCTCATGTGCACTTAGAAAAATGTCAATTTGACAGAAATTAGGCTAGAAATGTAACATTCGCAGGCTTTTGACTCCAGCAGGGCCACAACTTTGGAACTGTTATCTGGGTTGCCAGGTATCTGGTGACTTAGGAGGCCAAAGGTGCTTGATTTGGAGCCCACTGCTAATGATTCAATTTAATTTTAGAAAAAAAAGAGGTCTAGAGAGAGTCGAAACAAAATGTCACAGCACGTTCTGAACTAGGTCTGGGAGTAAAATCCAAGTCGGACTCTGTCTTGGGCTAGCTTAGGGCCTGATGAAAACGGGGGAAAAAACGAAAAAAATGTGGCCTTGTACCCTGACTCTGGCCTGTTTGTGGCCTATTTTTCTGAGTGGCCCCAAGGCAATTGCCTTATTTGCCTAATGGTTAATCCGGCACTGTGTACCAAACAACTATTTTTACTTTTAATGCCATTTGTTTTTGTTGTTCTCAGGAGGTGTTGAGGATACATTTTGGAAAAACAGTGAACGTTCGCTCGACATTATTTCCTTAATTGTCTTTCAAAAATGTTTACTTGGTTTTGTTTTTACACTCATTTTTAAACTCACATACACGTTTAGACACTCACACACACATACACACACAGACGTCAAAACTCTCTCTCTCTCTCTCTCTCTCTCTCTCTCTCTCT